CAAATGTATATTTAATTCAGGTCAATTTTATGTCTGACCCAACCTGACCTTATCAGGTCAGGTCAAGTCAATTACCCAACCCAACCCGACCTGTTCAGAGCTCTAGTTAAAATAGATTAGGCAGATCGTTCATGATACAATTTTAATCTTTCGCTATTAACAGGAATTTTTAGCACTTTATCATCTATTATCCTTATTTTATAGATACCATTACCTAGAACATTATGTATTATATAAGGTCCCTTCCATAGTTCTTCCAATTTATTTTTGTCTTGTAAATTGCTCTTATATAGTAAAACCAAGTCACCTCGTTTAAATTATGCCTCCTTTAAGTTTTTAACATGTCAGTTTTTTTGTTTTGTTCTATATTTTTCTGAGCTTTTATTTTATTATCCTCAAAAGTTCTGATAATATTTTGTATTCGATTTAATAATTTATCATAAAAATTGGAAGCTATTGGCTGCGCTTGTAAGGCTGAATTAAACATTTCTGTTAGAATAATAGCTTCACGTCCATACATTAAATACATTAAATAAAATGGCTCATGTCTTGTTATCTCATGTCTTTTTGTTCTATAAGCGAAAAGGGATGAGGAAATATAGTTGTCCCAGTCATCTTTGTGGTCATTGGTGAATTTGGCTAAAGTCTCACATAACGTTCAGTTGAATCGCTCGACTAGCCTATTCATTTGCGGGTGATAAGCGGATAACAACTTATATTTTGTTCACAATTTGTTACACAAAGAATTAAGCATTTCATTAACGAAATGTGTTCCTCAGTCTGTTAATAGTATCTTTGGATAACCATGTCGGTATATTATATTTTTGTAGAAAAATGAAACTACCGAAGAAGCCTTAGCATCAGGTATTGCATATGCCTCAGGTCACTTGGTTAAATATTCTGTAGCCACAACAATATAAGAATTTCTATTCTTTGTTTTAGGTAAAGGTCCAACAATATCCATTCCAACTCTGTCAAAAGGCTGTCCCACTTTGATTGGATGTAAAGGTTCAGTACGTTTATTTTTGCTTCTTCGCTAGCATTCATCGCATATTTTCACATATTGCCTTACGTCTTCGAACATTTGAGGCTAATAATATCTTATTTTAACTCTTTTATAGGTTTCTTCTATAGCGAAATGTCTTGCCAATGGATTTGAATGTATATAGTATAGAATTGTTTCTATTTTATTTCTTTTTATTACTTTAAATGATCGATTCAGTTCCTTTAAATCCATTAAGTACTATGTGAGGGAGTGGTATGTATTGGGGTCCATAATGGTCAAAATCCATTATTGTTAAGAAGTGTCATGAATGCTATTTCCGTTGCTGTATTTAAAGATTTGTTCTTTTGTTATTAATGGGTTATCCGGCTTAAAGTATCTACGTTTGAATGTTGTTTTCCTAGTCGGTTGATAATATCAAAGTAAATGAGTTAAGAGTCATAATCCAGCGTCCAAGTTTGCCAACAGGGTTTGAGTTATTTTTCAAATATACTAAAGCGGAATGGTCAGTAACAACAACAAATCTTTGTCCATGAAGATAATGATGAAAGTATCTTATTGCCCATACAACAGCAAGGCATTCGAGTTCAGTGATAGTATAGTTTCGTTCATGCTTGTTCAACGTACAACTAGCATATGCTATAACATGTTCTTTAGAATCAATTCTTTTTTGCGATAATATTGCTCCTAATGCAAAAGTTGAAGCATCCGTATATAGAATGAAGGGTTTTTCGAAATTAGAATAAGCTAATATTGGAGGTGTCATTAAGCATGATTTGAGTTCTCAAAGGCTTCTTGCTGATATTTCGTCCATTGATAACAAACATTCTTCTTTAAGAGTCAGTGCAAAGGTTCGGCTATCATTGAAAACCCTTTAACAAACTTTCGGTAGTAAGAGACTAACGCGATAAAACCTCTAAGCTGGGTCAAATCTTTTGGTGGGAGGTAATCTTTTATTACTCTTAATTTCTCAGGGTCAGTCTGAATTCCTTCTCCACTTATCACATGACCTAGAAAAGGTAACTTTCGCTTAAAGAAGAAACATTTTTCCGGGCTTAACTTTAGTCCAGCATTTCTCAACCACATAAACACTTGCTTTAAATGCATGATGTTCTTCGAAGGTTCTTGATCCGATATTAATGTCATCAACATATACAACAACAAATTGCCATAATATGTCTCTTAAAATAGTGTCCATTAAGCGTTTAAATGTGACAGACGCATTACACAGTCCAAATGGCATTACGCTAAATTCATAGGTACCGAATTTAGTTATGAAAGTTGTCTTTTCCATATCTCTGGAATCCAATTCAACTTGCCAGAATCCACTAGCAAGGTCAAGAGAAGTAAACCAAGAAGATCCTGATAAAGTTTCCAACATATCATCTATCCTAGGTAAAGGGTAACAATCTTTCTTGGTTACTCCATTTAGTTTTCGATAATCTACGCAAAACCGTTTTTTTCCATTTTTCTTTTCCACAACCACAACTGGGGAGGTCATTGACTATTCGAAGGTTTGATCAGTCCATTCTTTAATAACCGCTGAAATTCTTCATTAATAAATTCCTGATTTTTGTGAGAAGTTCGGTAAAATCTCTGTTTGATGGGTTCTGCTATACCGGTATTAATTGAATGTTTAATAACAGATGTTCGCCCAAATTCATCTGAATCCCAGACAAATAAATCATTGTATTCATGCATGAATGCTTTAAAGGTTTTCTTTTGTTCCATATTCAATTCTCCGATATGGAAATTTCCTTTCTCAATCTTTCATACTGATAATATGATTCTTTGGGTATTGTAGTATCGCCGATTTGCTCAATTATTTCATTTTCAATTTGTTCAGATTCCTCCGTGGATATATATTGGTTAAAACAATATACTTGTTCTTGTAAATCGGCTTCTTCCTCATATTCTTCATCTGTATCACTAACATCGATGATATGTTTTTCTTGTTCATTATCTTCGATTTCTTCTTCGTCAATCTTTTCGAGAATACGATCATGTGGTAATTGATAGCATTCAACTGGTACATTAATGTCTTCATTATTCCAAAGCAAGGTTAGTAGCCCTTTTCTATAATCAATTATTGCCTGTGTTTCTTTTAACCAGTCATTTCCTACAATAGCAGCATAGGATTCGGCTTCTGTAACTACTGCGTCAAAAGGAATTATGTGGTTATTAATTTTTAAAGGAATTTTAGTTACTGCTCCTAATGGTCTTCTTTTTTCTCCATTGACATTGACCATGATAGTTTTCGATGCTTGTGTTATTACCATTTCTAAATCCTTTAGTAACTTCAAGGATATAATGCATCCTGCAGAACCAGAATCAATTATAAGGGGTATCTTTACTCCGTCTATGTATGCGTCGCAATACAATGCTGTAGCCCTTTTCATGGTATCATTCTTTGATAAATTTGATTCCATGTTTTCAGGTTCATCAGGTTTTTCATTCACTATAATCTGTTCTTTAGGTTTCTTTGCTAGTTTTCGTATTGCTTTCATTACGGCTTGCCCAAATTTTGGGTTCATTGCTATTAATTGACAATTCGTAATATTCGCGTGTTGATCAAAAAATCGTTGCAGTGTATAAGGATCAACCATACTATTTATGGCGGTACCAAAGGTGACTTCCTCTTCAACGGTTTCGCTTTAACCTTTTTATTTGCTTGTTGGCTGGTTAATTGCTGGACCGTTTCTTCGTTATTGTCACTTTTTTTGTTTCAGTTTCTTCATTGCGCTCGTAAGGAGTTTCTTGAGCGGCTTAGATCGTGTTTTCGTTGCTGGACATGCTTCGAATAATGATAAATTCGAGGGAACGACTTTCGTTAAAGAAATGAAAAAGAAATCAATCAAATCAATTGGTTAAATAAAAAAAACCACCTTTGTAGATACTGAGAAATCAAGAATCTAAAAATTTGGAGGTAAATGGATGGTAAAATAAACTTATCTTTGTTTTTTATTTTATTGATGAGATGTTAAAAATGATCCAACGATATAAAAAGATAGTTGTAGGTAAGTAAATAAGAAGGGAATTAGAAAAGTAAAAAAAAAAATTTAATTAATTTTTAAAAAACTTACCTTATGTAGATGTTGGAGAAATCAAAGGATCTAAAAAAATGGAATTAAGTTAGTATTAAGAAGGGAGTCGAAGAGGATATAGAAAATAAATAAACTCACCTTGATTTTATTTTTTGTAGACGCTGAATAAATTAAATGATCTAAAAAGATGGAGGATTTATCTCTGCTATCCGTCAAGCTATGAAAAGAATACCGAACTTTTTTTTTATATCATTATTATCATTATAGTTAAGTTATATACAGATTATTCTATTTACTTTGCTAAAAAAAATTTTCTTTTATTCCTTTTACTTTATTATAAATGTTTATTAAATAAAATATATAGCCCATCAAAAGATTGAATAGATTAACTTTAATTTTGAAATATAAAACAAAAAGTGATATCATTTGATCATTGTTACTAACCAATTTCGGACAGCATAGCCAAATGTAACCTAAAACTTATGCTGCTGCGGCATATTCATATATAATTTGTTTTTCCGGAAAATGATGGATCGTCTTATTTTTGGTTACCTTTCCTGTTTAATAACATTCATTGGAAAAATATAAAAATAGACTTACTACGAATCTATTTTTTCCGGGTTCATTATAAAAATAATAATAATAATAATAATAAAAAATCACTTATGGAGGAAAAAGAGCAAGCAAAAGGACGTCATTTCCAACTTCCATTCGAATTTAATGATACAAACAGAATTGGACCTTGGGAAATTCTACTCAGCGAAAGCACGATTAAAGACATACGAGAAATGTTATATAATGAAGAATTCGAAGATATGCAAATAGGGTTACCTCTCACGATTGAAACGGTTATTAAAAAACTTAGGCAAATATCATCTGGTGCGTGGAAAAAGTTTGGCCTCCAACGTAATGCATTATCAAAAGATATTCCTGTCTATGAAGTGGAGCTTCCTACCAAAAACCTGAAAATTCTCTGGCAAGTTGACTATGGATTCTCTATCCATAAATATTCGTTCACGCAACATGTAAAGGTTTGGGCTGTCACTTCAATCCAAAAACAGATTGATGAAACATTAAAAGTTCTTAAAAGTGTTCATGAGGTCTACACATCAGAACATCTTCGTCGGTGCGCAATACAAAAGATGAGCAAAGACAATGTCGTTTTACCGGAATGTTTTGAAAATGAGGGAACGAGGTTCACCAACGAAGAATCGGACAATGAGAAACTATTAGAAGTCCACAAAATGTTTGTTACAAACAAATTTATTCCTATATCAAAGGTAAATATGCTCAAATCAATTTACATATTCAACGAAAAAGTTTCTTAAAATTTTTCTCGCAGGATTTGTTCAAGTCGCTCATCCTAAATGGCACCGATTTCGCTTTTCTGGTATCCAAGACTGAGTACGAGATAATTAACAATCCTTCTTCAGCGGTCGTTTTTGGTCGATCGGGTTAGTAATCTAGTTTCAGCCAAATTTATTAGATAAATAGGTTGACGTTGTTTATTTTTTATTCTAAATATCCAATATTTAGGGACCGGCAAGACTACATGTATCGTATTTAGATTGCTTCTTTCATATCTGAAAAGCAGACTTTACAAGTCACCATCTTTGCATGGCGATGACGACTATTTTTACAAAAGACAAATATTTATTACGTTGAACCCCATTCTATGCTTGCGAGTAAAACAATACTTCAGCCATTTACAAAAATCAACGGAGCTAGCTGGAGAGAAGATTTCGAAAGCCCAGTTTATTAATTGGAAGAAGAAATACGGTAGTAGTAAGGATCTTGATGACAATAAGATGTATGAGGAGGACGATGTGAAAAAAATACTGGGTGAAATTCCGAACTCGTTCCGTGAGTTGACGGACCAGCATTTCCCATTATTTATTACTTATGAAAAGTTTTCAGAAATGCTTTTGGGGACCTACAATATTGATGCTTTTAATGACAATGCACATGAAGATGAATTCCGCTCCAGATCTTCCTTTCCAAAAATGTCAAACGCTTCATGGGCTACCTTTGTTGACTATGATTTGTTCGAAAAAAAGTATTGGAATGATTTCGGATATAGTATTAGAAATAGTCTGGATTGCGAGCTGGTTTACTCTGAGTTCTCTATTATCAAGGTACGCAATTATAAATATACACTACTCCTAAAAATTTTCGATTTTGACACGAAGTTTTTCAACAAAATAATCTGAAGGGCATGAATACTGAGGTAGACTATCTATCAAGGGAAGAATACCGTTCCATTAGTACCAGGAAATATCCAGTATTCTCTCACAATCGTGATGTTATTTATGATATATTTGAGCGATATGAAAAGAAGAAGGCGCGAAATTACGACTATGATTCAGTAGATCGGTAATTACTGAGTAATATTTTTTTTATTTTAGATAGGACTTAATCGATTTTCAATTTTTTTATTCTAGAACTCTAGCAATATTACGTGCAACCAAAACGAAAGAGTTTGGTGGCCCACACATTCATGAAGTGTACATTGATGAATGTCAGGATAACAAGATCATAGATTACGAGCTTATCTTGAAACTCTTTGGCCGCGCTGAATGTATTTTTATGGCAGGAGATGTAGCGCAATGCATTGCCCGGGGGTCTACTTTTCGATTTCGGGGTATGCGTTTTTATATCCTTCAAGAACAAATAATTACATGTCCTTCCCTAATCTTTAATTTGTAAAATATAAATAGAATTATATGAATTGATTTACCAATGGAATCTCAAACGTGACCTAAAAAATCAATATAAATCTTTAAAACCAAAAGAGTTCGAACTAAATGTTAACTATCGCTCCCACAAAGGGATTCTTCAACTAGCTTCGTCTGTAATTCACCTCCTCCATGTATTCTTTCCTGATTCTATTGACAAGCTTTCACCTGAATTCAGTGAGGTTAGTGGTCCACAACCGCTCATAATCGAAGGTTGTGAGGCTGAAACTCTGTTTGTCTATAGAAATGATAACAGAAAAGAAAATGTATTTATTGAATTTGGAGCTGGCCAAGTCATTATTGTACGTGATGAAACAGCTAAAAAGCGTGTTAAGGATATAAATAGCGATATAGGATTGGTTTTGACTGTCTTCGAGGCCAAAGGTATGGAGTTCAATGATGTGCTATTGTATAATTTCTTTACTGATTCTCCCGCACTTTTAAAGGTAATATATCATGAAGCTTGTTTTAAAAATCATAAAGTTATTTATTATAAACTGCTCTAATTTTGTTCATAATATTTAGTGGGAAGTAATTCTCTCCGATTTAGATGACTACTCTGCGTGGATTCCGAAATTTTCTCCCGAATGTCATTATATCCTTTCCTCAGAACTCAAACACCTCTATGTCGCCATAACCAGAGCTAGAGAGCATCTCTGGATTTTTGATGAGGATGCTAAGTTGAGTGAATCAATCCGTAAATACTGGGTACACAAAAAGCTAGTTAAAGTAACGAATAAAATAGACATGTCTACCTTAACTAAGTCAAGTAATCAGTCTGAGTGGAATTGTGAAGGAAGGGTGTTTTTTGAGCAACGGAATTATAAACAGGTAAACTCTTAAAATATCCAGTGAAATGCAATAATGAGCCGAGTTACTAAATGAGACAAATTTACTTGTAGGCTATTTTCTGCTTCAAAAAGGGTGGAAATAAGGAAGGCGAAAAATTAGCCCGTGCATATTATCTTCAAGAAATTGCCAGGACTTCCTTCTTAACCGGTTCTAAAGAAAAGCTAGTGAAGTCTAATTTCGTAACTGCCGCTCAAGCCTTTGAAGGATGTTCCCGTTTGCCACAGGCGGCTTCATGTTATGAGGTATAACATTGTTTTATTGAAACTTTGATAAAAATATTATCTATTACGTGGTTATTTGAACATTCTATTCTATTGTTATGTATTTCCGTTCGAATTAATTCACTTATACATAAGCTTTCATCATGAAATTTACAAATTTATAATTTTTTAGAATATAGGCATGTATCAAAAAGCTGGTGATTTATATTCCGAATCAAAAATGTTTGAGCCTGCCGCGCGATGTTATCTTGAAGTCAAAATGTGGAACGTAGCAGGGGAGTATTTTAAAAAGGCGAAGAAGTACAATCATGCAGCCATTGCCTATAAAGATGGCAATCTTAATGATATGATAACTGATTTGATTCAGAGGTAAGCTTAAAGCAACCTGGTAATTTTTATAAATTCCTCATAAGTCTCTTCATTTGTTGTCAATTCATTAAAAAACAAAAAGCTAATGCTCGTCTAAACTATCAATAAGTCACAAGCAAGACATCAACGCTGAAACAATTCAACTACTTAATCTCCACTTTCGCAATGAAGCGGAAAAACTTATTTCTCATAATAAGTTTGAAGAGGCTGCCGATATGCTAAACCGTTCAGTTGTTGACGACGAGAATACAATTTATGCGTCTAAGTGCCTATTGCGCCTTTGTAGAGGTAATGTACTGGAAGAATTGCTTACAAGCTCAAGTACACGACAAGAATTATGTAGGCTCAAATCAAAAACAGACATTACTATCTCAAAAGTTATAAATCATTCTAAAAGGAATAGACTGATAGATGAGTCTCAGTTATATATATACTTTTTAAATGGAAAACTCAATATTTACGATATGGTAACTGACTTGATTCAAAGGTAAGCTACCTAGTTGGTTCTGTATATTTATCGTAAGACCACCATTTACTTTCAACTCATAAAGAAAAATTAGTGTAACACTTATCTAAACTATTAAATAATAAGACACAGACAAGAAATCAACGATAAAACAATCCGTCAACTCAATTTCCACTTTCGCAAGGAAGCAGAGAAACTTCTTTCACATAATAAGTTCGAAGAGGCTGCCGATATGCTTAACCGTTCGGTTGATAATGACGAGAACGTAATTGACGCGTCACAGTACCTATTTCGCCTTTGCAGAATTATCGTACTTAGAGAGATATTTACAGGTAACATAAGCTCAAGTGCCCTACAGGAATTGTGTAGGCTCCAAGCCAAAGCGGCCATGACTATCTCAAAAGTTATAAATAAATCTAAGCAATGGATGAGTCTGATGGAAGAATCTCGGTTATATTCTTCTTATTTAAATAAAGGTCTCGATATTTATGATTTGGCTGGCGATTTGATTCAAAGGTAAACTTAAAGTAACCTTATAGATTTTGTAAATTTCTTATATGAATCAATCATTCGTCAATTCATAAAAAAAAATATTATCAACGCTTTTTAAAATATTAAAAAGGCACAGAAAAGACATCGACAATGCAACAATCCATCAACTTGATGCCCTCTTTCGAAAAGAAGCAGAGAACCTTATTTCGTATAACAAATTCGAAAAGGCTGCAGATATGCTTAATCATTCGGTTGATAACGACGAGAATGCAATTGATGCATCTCGATACTTTTTGCGCCTTTGTAGATTTAATGTACTGAAAGAGTTAATTACAGGCTCAAGTACCATGCAGGAATTATGTAATCTCCAAACCAAAGCAACCAAGGCTATCTCAAAAGTTAAATCTTCACGATTGAAATGTCTGACGGAAGAGTCTCGGTTATATAAATCTTATTTAAATAAGGATATCGATCAAGTCCTTGAGTGTCTACAATTTTTCATGAAGCATGAAGAGTTTGTCACCGAGTTTTTTGCAGTAATACTTTGGCTTCAGACCTCACCATACGATATTAATATCAAGTATTGGAATGATCGGTTACAATGCCTGCTGAGACTATGTAAATTGGCCTTTCCTTATATACTCCCACAACCAAATGACGATATTGCAAAAATCGAGAAACAATTCGAGGATATTTTTTTATGTTTTGAAAACAAAATAATAAACCCTCAGGAACTGAAAATTTTTTCTTACAACCCTCTTCATTTCCTTATGGACATCAAGCATAAAGAAAATGAAGAAAATGAAGAAGAAATTACTGAATATGGGAAGGTTATTGACTTGAATTTTGCACATCAGAAAATTTCGCAGTTTCTCATCTTATACATCTACGAGCATATTTCGAATGTCGATCATGTTGGGAGAGATAATCCAAATGTAGTTTATAGTCAAGATTCAACAACACCACTACTTCTGCTCCAGCGTCTGAAACTTGCAAGACTCCAATACACTGTGGTGCGACAGTTGGATGTATTATATCGTCATGGACGACTTAGTAAAGAAAGTAAAGAATTCCTTGCCTCACAACAATGGTGGGCTGAAAATCTGGTTAATTTTCATATGCGCTGTCCTTGGGATATTAACATACATCCTATTCACATTTGTGACAGCCATATTAATGAGGCTTACAAGAAATGGTTCATTAAGGAGTCAATGAATGTTAACGACTTTGAGGTTATGTTAAAATGTATGTTTGTTATACAGCAACTGCAGGACAAAAAGGTTATTGAAGAGTTCTATGAGTTAATGTCGAAAACAAAAATACTTTCACATCCTAACGACCTGCCCATTGGTTTTGAATATTACTGTGGAAATTATCAAGCGATTCCAGTTGGAAGAAGTCTTGCACAATTTTTTTTGTTTCTTTTTACTAATAAAGTGATACCCGCAATCATAAGCTCAAGTGCGTTTATTATTTATGCCATAAAAAATATTGAACAAGTCAATCTTACTTCATCGAATGCTCTTGGAGGCCTAACATCTCTCATGGAATTTACAGCGTCTTTGAATTTCGCAGTTGGACAAGTGCATTGTGATATTTGTCTTCCTCGAGGTTATCTAATTGACTACTTTGACGCATTTTGCGTTAAACCGCTCATTCCTGATCGATATATTTACAGCAGGAAGAATTATCTATCTGCTATCAATAACTCCATCGGTCAAGTTCAACATCTACTCGACCTATTGTTTTCCAAAGAGGAGATATATATGACAATTATCCTTCGACTGATACGGCTTTTGGTTCTTATAGGTTTAAATGAATCCAGTTTTGTGCGGCCGATCCTTAATTTTTTCAAACACACTGTTAGTAAAAACCAAATCTTTTCTACAAAGATCAAGAAATACCTAGAAGAAAACGAATTTGTAAAACTTGTGGAAATACTTTATAGAGATCTCAGGGAGATGCGCTGTGACTCATTAGTTATCTTTCACCACAAAAGTATAAGCATATCGAAATTTTCTTACTTCGAAAAATTTGGAGTAAAAAGATTTACTTACAACTCTATTGAGGAATTCCGTTCTTCTCTTCGAAAAATATCTTCTACCAGTATTCCGAAAGATCAACTCACCAATGTTGAAAGTTAAAACTCCATAATATTCTTTTGAGTTATTATTTTTTTCTTTTATTTTATTTTATCAATAATTAAAAAAAATATATATTATACAAGTCTACAAATATATTAAATTTAGATTTTATATAGGAAGTGTTTATAAATGCCATGCCATTTAAAATAATAAAAAAATACCATATTTGCAACTCTGTTATATTAATTTTAAACGGTCAACCGGTCGGCCAGTCAAGGGCATTGACCGACGATTGACTGAACATGACCGACCGTTATCATCCTATTCGTAAGTAATATGTAATAGAGTATTTCAGTAGTTGCTAATAATCATAAATAACGATTTGGTCATAATAATGCAATTGATTAACAAAACTCCGTCGTAGTTCCCTTATGTTGATCGTCATTTTAAAGCGCCAAACCAGTCATCCAGCGTCCTGGCTCTAATAAGATTATAAGAAAATTTTCAGAAGATTCATCACTTTTCATCACTCGTCATAATCTTCTTCACCATTTTTCTCACTTTTCGTAATTACGCGGTTGTATAATTATTTGATTGAACGTGATCATTCCGTCATTCGTCAGATTTTCCTAATATACAATTTTTTTTCTCTTGTGATCTTTAACACAGTGATGTGCTTGAAGCACTATTGGATTGGAAGCATAATGCACATCACATACTTTCAATTATTATCATTCTTTAATGTTTAGAATGCTTTTGAAGTATAAGTAAATGTTGCCATAAAAATGTAATGATGTACACTGTATATAAAATCATTAGTATATATTTGTTTGCATTACCGTAAAATGCGTAAAATGCAATAAAAATTCCGAAAATTTCAGGTCAGGGCTTTGTTCGAAGAATTTTAGTGTATTTTGACAAGAAAACTGTGCTATAATGCGGACGACATCTTTTACATTTCTACATTTCGAATGAAAGCCGTTCAAAATCCCGAAGATCAAAATCCCGAAGGGTCATAATTCCGAAGTCATAATCCCGAATATAAATCATAATATAATAAGTTTGCTAATTGCAATATTCGATTCGTATTACACACGACATTATTATATTTTTATTAATGATTTTTTAATCGATGAGATAATTATATGATTTAGCAAATTGTATCCATTTTTATCAATGTTGGCAAAAATATTTTATAAAGTGGTCAAGCTAAAGATTTTTGCTATATTTAAAAGCAATAATGTAAAGTATTCAATATCTTCGTTATGATAGAACTTAAAATATACGTAATATTTTTAATATTTCATAACAATAATATTCAGGATTATGGCCATTCTATTTCGGAATTATGATCATTCGGGATTTAGACTTCGGGATTTGGTCTTAGGGATTTTATCATTGCAATTTCTTACTAAATAATATATAAAAAGGTAAGGTACAGTACTTGCCTGATAATTTCCCTTTAAAGCCGATTGATCTGCAACGTCCGTCTCAACTAAATTTCAGAAAGCCTTGATTCATCACCTTCACCTAGTTCAATTGATCCTCATTGCATGATTCGAAGGTTGCATCGAAACAATAAATTAAAATTTTCATAGAAAGACAGAATCAAATTATGAGATCTTACAAGTAACTATAAGTCATGCCTACCATTACTATTTCGAAAACTTTATACATTCTTTATTATGATCAGAAGAGATTTTCATTGCAGTAGTAGGTATAAATATGATCATGACCATTAATATATAGTTAAATAATGGCTTCTCATGTATATCATCAAAAATATTGTGATATAGAAACTTTGACATTCTCAAAAATCGAATAGCCCAGTTATCAAGAAATGATAGTAAGGGCAAGATTTGACTGCGATAAAGAGCCAAAAACTGTGATATAATAGATTTACATATTGATTAAGAAAGTGTCAAGGGCTAACAATATCGATTGTGAGATTTTGTACTCGTTATCGGTAGCGCTCTTGATATTCTATTTATTGTTTTACATAGAATTTCGCTTAAAGTTGCGGGAAAACTTAGTCTTCGACGGCACTGTCGTACAATAATAAAATATTAATTCTATATCTCGTACTTCAATTTAAATAGCATACCACCCATATGGTTGAAATTAAATTACTTTCGATCTGGTGAAACAAACCGACCATATTTTAAAAACTAAAAATTAATTGTTATTTTAGACGATATTAAAAATATTCTTTACCATACCATCTAATGCTACTAATGCAAATTTAATAAATAAAATTGAGTAATTAACTATTAGTATTAATTATATGATTGTATAAAAGCGTATTACCATCTAATTCTTCTAATGAAGACGGTTCGTCAGAAACTGATTCTAGCATTTTAAATATCGATATAAATTTAAGAAAAATATCACGTCTTTGGTTTATAATTGTCAATTTAAATACTTATCTATTTGTAGCGCAGTAAAAAATGATCGCTTGACCACGTGCCGGTGAAATTTAACCCTAATTAACCTTGTGACTAATAATGTGTGAAAAAAATTTCCAAGTCCCTGGAATACTTAATAAAAATGGAAAAGCAGAGGGTTTCACTAATTTACCCCAGGCTCTGATTGGCTGGTATATTTAACTATGTTATTTGTCACGAGCAGGGTGGACATACTTATATCACATGTCGATCATTTTGCCGATCATATTTTGTATTATCACATCAGCGTTTGCA